AAGATAACAGGAGAGAAGCAAAAAAAAAAAAAAAAAAATCTGTAAACGAGGGAGAAGAAAGAAGGAGGAGAACAAGTGAAAAAAAGTATCCGGTTGGAGAGATAGAGCGGCGTTGCAGGTGAATGAGAATGACTGAAAGTGTAATGATTTATGACTAACTATATGAGAAAGTATTTTAATTACATTTATTTGTTTGAAATTATTCTTCTCTCATGTACCTTTAAGACTGAAATTAGACCATAGTAACCTCTGATAATTGTATTTTGAACAGTGTGGGTTCTTAATGAATAATCTTGAAGTCTTTTGATAATCTTGATGATAACGTACTACCCTCTCTGATGTCACTTATAAGCATTCAGAGTGTCTCCAGAATATGTGCAAGGAAAAGGGTGGGCGCTTTATATTGGTCTTAGCTATTGTGGGATGTGATCAAACTAATATCAGCCTACTGTACTGAGAGAAGATATATTAGATAGCATTGTATTTCTTGAAGCTGAAGTTTATATTACCAAAATGAGTTCTGAGAATCTGCATGGGGATGGAACAGGTGTGGATAAGAATAAAGGTGAGAGAGAATTTATGGTACAAATGGATGCATTGCGTAATGAAGTGACGAAAATAAATGCAAATCTAAACACTCTGTTCGCTACTGTAGCAGAACTTAGAGACGAAATGTCTGTGGAAAAGGGCAAGAGAGTGGAGTTTGAAGATAAGTATCAGTATCTATTGTCAGAAATGACTGCCTTGAGGATAGGTTTTTGGTCAGAATCAGACCCGCTCGTCCCTTCTCCTCCTGCCAGACACGAGCGAACCGTTCCTCAGACTACAGTTACTCAGTCTTCTCAAAGCATTCCACTTGTTACACATTCCAGTACTCTAAGAAGTAAGGGTAACCAAATATTGAATGTTAAACATCCAAGTGGATATATTAATTTGCATACAAGACAGGCAAAACAGTACCAGCACATTGCCTCAAGCAAAACGGAAGATCTGCAAACTTTCGTGGACGCTGAATCAGAAAGTCTCCCAGAGGATGAAAAATTTGGACCAAGTGCCATAGAAGCCTACATAGAATTATGTAGCAGAAGTTACTCATTGGATGAAGACCCTTATGAGTTTGTAAATAAATTTCGGGCTAGATTTAGAGCAATAGCTAGAGCATTTCCTCACGAACAAAGACCTAAGGAGGAAGAAACGTGGAAGAGAGTGATGATGGAAAATTTGCCAGAATCCATCAAGTCTCGGCTACAGATCTGTACTATTGACGGAATGGGAGCAGCATTCTTGTCGGAGTTAGGGAAGGAACGTAGTTACTTGCGCTCACAGGTGAACAGAGCAGACGTAAGAGAGACGTTCAAACCCGAGGGTATAGCTGTAAGTTATCCTTGTGGTTGGTGTCAAAATGGGAGCAGACATATACGTAGCAAATGCCCGCGAAATCCTGCCGCTAGGAGTTGTTTCGACTGCCTAGCACAAGGGAAAAGAAAGGGCCATTCTGGATGCCCCGGGAAGACTGATACGAGATAGGTCATCGACTTCATAGTAAGAAAAGAGCTGGATATCAGAAAACAGACCCAAACAGTAAAATTAAAGGAAACATCAGTCAGGTCAGAAAAATTTACACGCCCGATGCAATGATTTTAGCTAATGATAATCAAGTTTCAGCTTTTGTCGACACAGGCTCCTCAGTAACACTAATGCAGTATAGTGTGCTCTAAACACTAGAGTTAGAAAGTTCGACCAATCAGCAAAGTCCTCCACTCAGTGACCGACACATTACTCAAAGTCCGAGGTGAAATTCAGGTTCAGATATCAGTATCCCCGAATGTCTCCATTTAGCAAAAAATTGATAATAATTCCTGGTGAGTATCTAACCAGAAATGCTTTGATGGGAGTTGATATAACGGTCTCAAATAACGGTTGCTGCGTGGCAGACGAACAAGGGAATTTGACAGGCCGATTTGAAAGAAGAAAGGAGGATGAGTGAGGAATGGTGTCAGGATGGAATACACTTGGAAAGTTTGATTGACATTGCAGGTGATTGTGAATTACTGAAAGTGTAATGATTCATGACTTAATGTATCACGAAGTATTTTGATGACATTTATTTGTTTGATATTACCCTTCTCTCAAGTACTTCTAAGACTGATATTAGATCATAGTAACCTCTGATTAATTTTCATAAACAGTTTAGGTTTCTAATGAATAACTATGAAGTCTTTTGAGAATCCACACCTGATGATAACGTAGTGCTCTCTCTGGAAGAAGTCAGAGTGTTCTCAGAGTTGGGGGAACATTAACTTTGTATGTGTGGAAAGGGACGGGTGCCATTGATATATCCACAGAACCGCTAGACTGGACTTTAAAAACACTAGCCGTAATGTAATGAGCACAAGGGAATGTGAAGTTAGAATAACCCAAAAATTTGTCTAGAAACCACTCTTTGTATACCTCATTTGGTCTTTATGCATATGTGATTAATGATGTATACCTCAGCTTT